AAGCTGTAAAATGCTTTTTTGAACATCTCGATATGATCATTTTTGACGAAGTTGCTCTATCTTGAAGTTTGCCTATTTTTAGAGGCTAGAACAGGTGATCCTTTAATTTTTTGGACCAGTGTATATACTTATATTACATTTACTAATTATATTCTTGATTTTAAACATTTTACTTTTGTGTTTGCAGCAACTTAATTTGTGGAGACTTGTAGACACAAGCACTTTTTTAGTAAAGTCAATGACAAATATTTAAAAAAAATATATGTCAAGAGAGGTTGCCATGGCACATACATCCGTAAAGAAAGTGGAAGGAAAACAGATTTTGAAGACTACTTTTTCGTCGTGCATTAAAGGTATTCATTTTTTGTTATTTAGATCTACATTTTATTATTTCAATTGTTGTGCCATTACTCATTCTTAAATTTTATTCATAAATTACAGAAGTTGTCACCGAGGAGTATTCCAAATCACATCATAATCCACCTATCACAGATAAAATATATTATTCGACATTAGGCAGTGTTCTTAACAATGCCAAGGACTGGGAAGGCCACCAATTAATGCGACAAAAGAAAATGAAACCGATTCAAAATGAATGGGAAGAGTATTATGTTTTTGATAACGATGGTCGTCTACAAAAGACTGGTGATATTAATAATTAAAATATTAATATGATATAAGTTTAAAATATATATGACTAATAAAGATATGTGATTAATGAGACAAAGACATATTTATAATATTAAGATATTATTTTTATATTATATATGGTTAAATAAAATTATTAATAAAATATATATTATTAAAACATTTTAATCTAATTTAGAAACTATAAATATTATAACCTAACCTAACCTAGAAATTATTGATACATGTATCTATACGGTTTCTGTACAGATTCTGATTAGGATCCATACTAGTGCCCTACCAGGACTATTCGAAAATATAAGGCGCAACAAGGGGCAGTGATAAGGTCCTGATAGGGAAAACATGATCAGGCAATTTTAATTCTCGACGTTACATTTATGCTCAGGGCCTAACAAGGATTACCTGATGAACCCCTAGTCAGGCGTTAGGGCATACTTATTAGGTCCCTATCAGAGCATTTCTGCTCGGGTATATGACGTGAATATACGGCATACGCTAAAAAACTGACGATCGAAGAAGTTCGTAAGATTTTTTCCAGAAAGGGACATGATTTAAATTTTTTTAATATGAACTACCACGAGGAGAAAATGTCCAAACTTTATGTACCTGTGTTGTATTTTAACTCTCTCGCATGTGATAAATATAATTATTATTTGTAAAAAAAATAAGACAGATAAATTCTGAACTTTGTT